GATCAGCGGGCAATTTAAAGTTTTCATTAATAGTGGAACATGTGGGCAGACAAGTATATCAATCAACCGAAGCTGGGAGATTTTAAGAGCCTATTCCCTTATATTTGTCTGACCCTAGAGGTTGGTGCCAAAAATAAAAAAAAAACAATATACCAAAAATGAACCTAATGATTTGCTAAAGAACTTTTCCAATATCCATCATCAGGAATGCATTATAAGTCGGAGGCTTTTAAGTCAGAACAATATAATATATAATTTCGAGTAATATTCAATTTTTGATTTCTATTAGTTTCAAATGCGTTTCAAGGCTCAAGCCAGCTCTCTGCCTGTTCAGTTCTAAGAGCTGCCTTTCCACATCCTAAAGACCAGGCTTGGTCTCAAACTTTGTTTATTAACTACAATTGCCCGTTCTACGGAAAATATGAAAGTTGTAAATGTTTTCCAAAAACAAGACACGGGCTAAATGTTTTTAATTTGAGAAATATTTTCTTTTTGCCAGTTATGGTTAGCTTGTATCTGGATTAAGGATTAGTCCGACGGCTCACATGCTTATTGCATGACGAGCATTCTGCGTGCCTCAAGCGGATTCACGCCCAATGCTCAACCCACAAAACTAAAAAAGAGAATAGCTTTGTAAGCCCCAAAATTGTGCAGTTCCCACGAAATGCTCTGCTATTGGCACTTCCAAAGTTTCGACCACAACAATTAACACTTCTGCACCTGTGCCCAATGAAGACCGACCGCAAAAAATAAAAAGAGAGTTCTGCCTGTCAGTTCTGTGAATGCGGCATTCAACCCGTTCGCGTGATATTCGCTATTGTTGAACTACATCGAGCTGGAAATTGCAAACTGCAAGTTGTGCTAACCCTTTGGCTTTGATTTTGTTGGGATATCATTAAAAAAAAAAAAAAAAAAAACCTTTAAAACAGGAACGTGACAACGACTACGACAACGGGCCAGGCACAAGTCACAATGGTTGTGTGTAACATGCATAAATTATCGTAACTGTAACAGACGCACATAATTCACTTCATTAACGGGCAGCAACACCCTTCGGAGCACCCTTAACCCTTTCTGGACACATGCAAATAATGCCGCATCATTAGTGCGTGCAGTATCTGAATCCGAATCCGAATCTGTATCTGAATCTGAATCACAAACCCAATCCAAGGTGCAAGTGCAGCAAATAGAAAGGGTTGCGGCTGCGAGTGTGGAGCACGTGTCGAGCACTGTCTGGACTGCCCTTCAAACTGGATTCGAACCTGTGACCTCTGTGCTGTGAATTTGCTTTTTTTTTCCCTGGTATTTGCATATGTTGTTGTTCACAGCGATTAGTGAGCCATGGATATGGAAAATTTGTTTTTAGCCATTTGTCTGTTGCGGTTTGGCTGGCTCAAAGGGTTGTCGGCTGAATGAGTGCCAAAACCTATCTGAATGTTGAATGTGTAAAATGTGCTAAGCTCGTGTCATTTAACTTTTCAATTTTGTAAGCGTTAGCTAAACTAACATAAAGTCTTTTAGGGAAAGGCGTATTTGAGCAAACCTGCACCGTTTTTAAGAGCTAAAAAACAACGTAGATATCACGCATTTTGTTTTAAAGAATTGTTGCTTTTATACCTACACACATAGAATTAAATAAATTTTATTTTATTTTCTATTAGATATTAGATATTCTGACGTTTAGCTAATCTCTAATTAGCATCAGTTATGTTCATAAAAAAACTAATCGCTTTCATTTAACTCTTCCTGGAAAATCTCTTTAATATTGCAACTTTTGCAAATCTAAACATCTCTCGACTGCCCAAAAGTTTCTACCCGGAATCGTTTCTATTAACTTTGTTCGCTTATCATATGTTTAACGCCTCCTGCAGCTGAGCTCTGTTCTGGACGGTTTTTTCCCACACACCGAGACGGCAAATTAAGCCACAACAAATTTGACCTTGTTAAGTTTGCTCAAACAATCCGCAAACACCAAAAAAAAAAAAAAAACGAAACGAAAAAAGGGAAAAGCGAAAAAGCATTGTTTTATGACCAGCTCGCATAACCGAGCGTCGACAAGGCAGTTACCTACCTCAGATTGCAGGTGATCAATTGGCAGTGCCGGCATCGGGCAATGCGATGCATCGGGGCAGGTATCCAGGTTTAATCCACACATAAGTCACGCCGTTCTCTTGTATCCTCATCCACTGTGTGTGAGGCGAAGGTGGAGCTATAAATATGCCTACCACGCAGTTGGGATGTGTTCAGTTAAAGATCGCTTTGCAACACTAAAAAAAAGAGCTGGAAAATGATTTGATAGTACACAAAATTTAAATATATTGGCTTTTCCTGGAGCTATAAATATGCCCACCACGCAGTTGGGATGTGTACAGTTAAAGATCACTTTGCAACACTAAAAAAAGAGCTGGAAAATGATTTGAAATTACACAAAATTGAAATATTCTGGCTTTTCCTGGCGCTATAAATATGCCCACCACGCAGTTGGGATGTGTACAGTTAAAGATCGCTTTGCAACACTAAAAAAAGAGCTGGAAAATGATTTGAAATTACACAAAATTGAAATATTGTGGCTTTTTCTGGCGCTATAAATATGCCCACCACGCAGTTGGGACGTGTACAGTTAAAGATCGCTTTGCAACACTAAAAAAAAAGAGCTGGAAAATTATTTGATATAACACAAAATTTAAATATAGTGGCTTTTCCTTTTTATGCTAATGAACGACACAGTTCATATATTTTACACATATTTACCAGTTTAAGCGAATAAAATATATGTACACATATCCCATAAATATTTCGAAATTGAGATATTACTGCCCAATAATCCAAGTACATGGCGATGCAATAGACTATCATTGTAAATAATATAGTAATTTATAAATCACGACAAAGCATGTATTTAAGGTATGCATAAGAGTGTTAACATAACATTCAATTAACTACTTAGACGCAGTGTACAAGAGTTCTCAGCGTAGAGTCCTTCGGGGCATTGGGGGCTGGCTACCATCATGACACCATCTATAAGGCAACAACAAAAGGCAACTGCCACAGCGAGAACATGAACAACCGTCAAGCTACAATAAAGAAGATCTTTTGGACGCCGACGAGTGCAACAACAAAAGCGCAGACAGAGCAGCCAAAATCAAAACCAAAACCAAAACCAAGTACAACAAGAAGACAACAACAAATATGGGCAATGGTTAAGGAATCCCAAGTAAAAGAGCACAACACGATCGCCTTCACCTTCGGCCAGGGCATATGCATACAAGACGGCGATGATGCGACGATGTGATTGAAACAAAACATCTTATTATTACCAGCCAGCCGATCGGCCGACTGGCAAAAAGAGCGACCCCGTGCGACCTCGATGTGGACCTGGACCTCGACCAGGCACTGACACTGGACGTTGCCAGAAAACGAAAAAAACAAAAAAAAAAAGAAGAGCGTGCAAAAACAAAAATTCCCACGCTCAGAGGCTGCCCTTAGTCGACGTCGACGTTGTCGTCCGTCTCGCCCGCCCATATAAGGCGCAATCTGGGAAACGTCCTTAACGCCCCACACCCCCTCACCATCGGAAGATTGTGCGAAAGCTGAGCCGCTGCCGAAAATCTCTGTGGCTTTCCTGCAACGCCCCCCAACCCCCTCCCTTTGTTGTTGCACTGCATTCTGTGCCCTGTTGCAGTTTTGTGATTGATTTCACTTTGGTTTTTTGGTATGCCTCTTGACTTTCACAGCTCATTGGGCTCGCTATGTCGCTCACACGATGCCATCCAGTGAGGCATCCTCCACACACACACACACACACGCGCACACCTACTCCATATAGACACTGGCATGCGGACAGGTTACAAATCGACAGGTATCAAGTGGTGAACGCTCATAATTATAGTATTTAGTGGTGCGTAAAATGTGATACTCTTTTATATTTTTGTCAAAATCTTTTGGTTTTTTAAATTGAGCAGGGTTCATCATGCGAGGAATCGTCAATTCTGTGCTATGTTCAAGCTGTAAAAAGCTTCGTCAAAAGTGAATAACTTTATTTTAAAAATTATATTTATTAAAAAAAGGAGTCTAAATATCAAGAACTTCTTAAAATATTAATTATTTATTTATCAGTTCTTAAATTTAATAAATATTCTTCCTTTCATACTTAAAAAATAATAACTTTATTTACAATTAAAATATTCTATCATTTCATATTTATCTAAGTAAAAATCCCCAATTTTTTTTAAATTATTGATTTCTGATTAACAAAATGGTATATACAAATTTAATGTTTTCTTTATTTTTTTTATACAAAATTATATATTTTTTTAATTTTTATAATTAATAATAATATTTTGCAATGCTTTGAATAAAATCTTTCAATTAGTCAGCTAACGTTTTTCTTTTAGGTATGCAACTTTTTTGGCTTAAAAATTAAGATTTTGGACCTTATCCATTTAAAATGCAAGCACCCGCTGGAATCCCCCTAAGCATATGCTGCACTTTTCATTGATCAATATTATATTAATTTAATTAATGTACCGTAAAATCAAAGACCATAATACTTATGCATATTCAACGAAAGCTGAGATGTGCTCAAGACCAGCATCCAGCAGATGCTTGAGCAGCCTGGGAGTCCCAGTTCCAGTTGTTGTTGTTGCTATTGTTATTGATCGTAGCAGCATAATCAAGTTACGGGCGCTTTTCATTATGTTGCCAGTTGCCGAAAAAAGCAAACAACCACCAACAACAACGGCATTATCATCTTTAACAGTAACATCATCATCGTCATCAACATCGTCATCATCAGCAATGACATTTATGCTGACCAACAGGTTGGCTGTTTCGGCTTTCGTATTCTCAACTTCACCACGCTGCGCGCTGCGAGGGTTGCTTATTAAACATAGGGCCACAGACAATGCTGCGTCGGTGGTGTGGGCAGTTGCCCAAGCAGCCAGTGGTGGTGGTGGTGTTGGCGTTGTTTCAGCCGATGTTGCTGATGGTGAGTTTTTGGCGTCAACTTGTTCGGCATTCGCTCGCAATACGCACTTGTGTACGGTCGTGTTCTCGCGTCGAATCCAAGCATAATACAAAGCCCAAAACAGTTAAAGTTCAAAAAAACATCATTGCGTCGCCTGTCGGTTGCAATTGAAATCAATTGAGTGCAATTTGCGAGTGCAAAGTTTTTCTTCGAGCGAACTAAACAAAAATGTTTGCCTAAGACAATTTCGTTAATTCATCTGTGTCGCGTGTATCGCTTGTTTGCCAAGTAATCAGCGCCAAAAACCAAGTCACTGCCATCAACTCCAATCGACAAACATAAACAAAGAGGCAACAACCATGGCCGACGAGAGTCTGCACACAATGCCGCTGGAGCACAATATAGACTATCACATTGTCACATTGTTTGAGCGCTTGGAGGCGATGCGCAAAGATTCGCACGGGAACGCCATCAACAATCGACTCTCGAGCACCCTGCAGGTGCCCAAGCGCAGCATGCAGGCCGAGATACGCACTCTGGAGTTCTGGAGGTGGGCCATTCGCTACTAACCATTGGCATTAGTTCGTTCCACTGCAAGTCTGCCTCTCATAGTCGCATTCGTAATCGCAGCCTTTGTTTATCCAGTTTATTGTTTAATGCGGCTTTGTGCATAATGCAGACGCGGCCAGTTGAATAATGCTTAACTAAGTGAAATTGAAGTGCTTGTTGTTTGTCTTCTGCCCGAAACTTGAAGACTACTCGAATATTTGTTCAAACTTTGCAAAAATGTGTGAATTGCAGAACGAGGCGCGAATTATACTGTTATTTATTATGAGATTCACAAAATGACTTATCAATCAATTTTATTTACTTTAACGTTTCTTATCATAACTATTAACTTTTTATTTTTTGCATTTTTAACCATTTTACAACACTTAATTTCATACTCCTTTTTTGTTTCTACATATTTGAACATAATAAATTTTATCTAAATCTTACAAAAATTTAAAAAAAATGTTACAGGTGAACTTTTCTAAATTCACGGATTCGACTATAATATAACTTCAGTAAAACTCCTTTTTTTTAAATTTAATTTCAATAACTCATTATTTGAGAATATACTCTAACAAGAGAATCAAGAAACTTAACAGAGTTTCTCTAATAAAAATAAAATGATATATTTTTTATTTAATTTACTTTCATTTTGACTGACATGAAATAATTCGAAAAAGAAAGATCTCTTAGTTCTAATCCTCCGTTGAATTTGAGTTCAATTTTATGCCTGCATTTTTTTTTATAATTTTTATGATTTGTAGAAAATTAAAAGTCTTAATGTGAACCTCAGTTTGCATTCAATTTTCGCATAATTAACGTTTCGTTGAAAGTCGACAGCGAGTAATTAAATTGTTAGCGCAAAAAGCAAAAGGCTGCCCCACGCAGTTTACATAAGTTTCGTATGGTTTTTTGTGCTCATTAATTATTTTTGATTTTAGAATTTTCAACAAAAGTTTGCCTTTAACGACTGGCGTGTCCATGACAGCAGCGCCGCATAAAATGCTAGAGCCGGGCACATGGCAATAGTTAGCTCCAATTAAGAGGCATCAGAATGCAAAAGTTAAATAAGAAATTTTATGGAAATTAACAAACGCAAAGTTGGGCAGCCAAATTGCAGCTGGCCCTCGAATGTTGCTGTTGGCTTCGCTGCAGTTTGTTTGATTTTATTTTTTTGTTATCTCCGCCCGGGTAACTGGAGGCAGACGTAAAGGGCGGGGTCCGTTTGTTGTTCATGTTTGCGCTGGGCTGTCCAGCAAAGACCTCCGGCAATTTTAGGGTTTGCATCTGGAAGCTCGACTGTGAGTGTGTGTTGAGACCCTCTGGGAAAGAAGGCGCCGAACGCGGCGAACATTGTGTGCAATTTGTAGCGCAACATAATTTCTTGAATATTTACTTTAATCATATGAAATGACATGCCCCGACTGTAGTATCTGTGCCGCACTCTTCACTCTGTCTCTCTTTGTGCCTTTGCAGATCCATCATCAGCGAGTGCCTAGCCTCGTTCCTGTATGTGTTCATCGTATGTGGCGCAGCTGCGGGCGCCGGTGTGGGTGCCAGTGTCTCCTCCGTGCTGCTGGCCACGGCGCTCGCCTCCGGCCTGGCGATGGCAACGTTAACGCAGTGCTTTCTGCATATATCGGGTAAGGCAAACACAAAACAAACAAACGAATAAACAGGCGACAAGTGTTGCATGTTTTTGTTGCGGCCTGCTTCTTGTTGTTGTTGTTGTTCTTTGGAGCGAGTTTGGGCACAAGCTCGCCCGTGGGAATTCTGCTGCCACCAAACAGCAGCAGCAGCAGCAGCAGCCGGCGCAAGAACCCCATTTTTTTTTTTAATTTACGAAAAGCCAACGCACTGTGGTTGTCGCCCACGTCCACGTCCACGTCTACGTCTCCGTCTCCGACGCCAACTCCAACTCCTTTTTCAGTCCTCCTCTTATCTTGGCGGGCGCACTCTCTCTCTGTTATTTTTCTACTCTGTACAACATGCCCGTGTATTTGAGTTCATCTGCGTTGACATTCAGGGCAATTAAATGTTTCCACAAAAACAACATATCTCCAATGTTACAGTTGGGGGAGCCCCAGTCCGCCCAGTTCGCTGGAGAACATGTGTTCTTGATTTTGCCTTTAAGTTGCATTTTGTATATTTTCTTTTTCACAGCCAATTGGCTGCGCATTAAGTTATGATGTCAGCCACCCTGGCAATGCTATATTCCCCGAAAGTGTCAAAGACGAAAAAAAAATATTATTTATATTGTATAGTAGGGTCAGCTGATTGCTGTCTATGCCCATAGAGAGAGAGAGAGAGAGAGCATTCATAGTCATATATAAATTGTTATAAAGTTTTCTTTTTGCTTTATTCACATCTAAGCGCATTTATCGCTTTGACACTTTAAGACCTATAACATGACATCTTTTTTATGGTAATTTACCTGTAACAGCGGCAACTTTTTACTTGTTAAATATTTAATGATTAATCCACTTATCTGACATTTTGCTCTACTACACAGGCGCTCACATCAATCCGGCCGTAACTTTGGCCTGCTGCGTGGTGCGCAGCATCTCCCCAATCCGAGCTGCCATGTACATGACCGCCCAGTGCGGCGGAGGCATCGCAGGTGCCGCCTTGCTCTACGGGTGAGTTGAATGAATATCCAACTATTTAGCAAAGAGCTTAAGCTGATTAATGAGTCGCTCAGAAATTAGAACTTACAGTAATTGAGTTTGGACTTGTCAATGAATAAGAAAATTTGTATAAGTCCTGATTCTTTGCTGTTAGATCATCTGGATTATAATTTTAAAAAAGGTTTATTAGTTTTTCAAATATGATTTATAAATGTAACTATTTTTATGGACGAAAGAACTAAAAGGTTCCATATGAGTCAACTTTCAGACTATTATTCTTACAAAAATAATTTAATTTAATCACAATCTCTTTCGTATGCAATATTATTATTGCTTATTTATATGTCAAGTTGTTATAAGTATTATTACTCAAAATTGACTTTGACTTTTCTCTTTCGCTTTCTTGGCTTATTAATTTTGCATGTCTATTAAATACTTTATCGATCGATTTCTAATTTACTATAATTTTATGTTCTGCAATCATATTGGTATTGTCTTAATATTTTTCTCTCAGTGTATAGCAAATAGATTGGAATTTTATATTGTGCAACTCTTTGAGTTGTTGCTGTTGTCAACATTCCAAATATTTCCAAATAACTTTATAATTTGCAAGTAGATTCGCACAGCCTTTACTTTAAGCTGCCTTGGTTCTGGGTAAATTGCATTGAGCGTGAAATTCATTTCAATGTAAAGTATCTTTGACCGGGCGGGAACAGAGCCGGGTTTAGGTGCAGCAGCAGGATATGCTATGCTAAACAATTTCCGAATTAAATCCAACAAGGTGCTCAATGTCACTCGAAATCACTAGCGCCTGATGCGGTGACTGTACGCAAGGACATTTTACCAAAAACCATTTACAGGAAATACGAAGTTTATGTGCAAAAACAGAAAGAAAAAAAATGAGGGGAAAGAGCTAGAGAAATGTATAAATAGGATATGCAGGTAAACGACGTGTCCTCTGCACACACACACGCACTCATCGTTACGCACAAGCACCTGCATAGCACGCAGGTAGATCTACTTACCTTGCCTTACCTAGGAGTGGATGTGTCTACCCACGTTTATCTACTGGAGAGAAAACATCTGCCGCTGCTGGCGACGTGATTTCCCATTTTTGAAAATGCGTTGTTGTGAGGACCGGCTTCCTTTGTCGAGGCCCAGCACCATGTGCTGCCTAGATACACACACCAACACACACACACACACACGAGGATACGCACAACCAAATCTTTCTACGGCCTGTCAGAGTCTTTTATGCCTAGATAACAAACTCTGCACAGGATATGCGTGTGGAATAACAGTCTTTGTCCTCGACAGAGAGAGAGAAAAGAAATATCTTCTGCTTCTTCGTATGCGACTGCGCAGCGTTTTTAGAAAACAAAATTTCGCTCCAATTTGTTGTTGTTGTTGTGCGTTGAACTCCTTTTTGGAAAGTTAATGCGCCTGCGCCTGCGCAGCCTGCCCCTCGATGTCTCTGTGTCTGTTCAACATCTGTTTTGCTGTTGATTTTACCCCTGGCTCCTTTTTTTTTTTGTTGTTTTTTAAGTGCATTGGCATCTTTGCTTTCTAGAGACGCGCAATCCGAGTAGCCGCTGCAACCGAAACATGTTTCAGCTGCCAGTCCGATCAGGTTCGTATCTTTTGCTTTGTTTTTTTCTGGTTCGTTCTGCATCTTCCACAAGGGTCGAGTTCGAGTTGTGTTTTAGTCGAAACATATGTTTCCAAAAGTATCTTTACCAAATACTGTGCGTGTGTGTTTGTGTGTGTGTGTGTGTTGATTAATTGGTTTAGATTTGGCAGTAGATTTTGTGGTTTTGTGGAGTTTATTAGTTCTCGCTTCGGTCGTTTGATTGATGGGCTCTAGCCGAGATTGAAACTAACGACGTCTTCAATTTGAATCCAAGCACGAGATTCACTGCACAAATTAGAGGCTTCTGCGAACTTTTGGTCCTTCATTTAGCCACACAGAGCTGATATCTTGGAAACATGCATGCTCTCTAATTAATTTCTCAATTTATATAAGTCTACTTGTGCAGTCCCAAATAAATAAGTTGCCAAAGTTTAGTCCTCTGCTGATAATAATAAAATATAACAGACCAACTCACTTTTCACTTCTTTCGCAAACGTGACGAATCATTCGACCTATTTCAAGCTTATTTTTAAGAATCTATTTAAAATTCTAGCATATAAGCTACAGCTGGCAATTACTTCTAGGAAGCAAGAGCTTGAAAACAAACTAACAAATGTTTTGTGAAATATTTTATTTTGTATTCTGTATATTGTCTGAAGAACATTTGAGCCAAGCTACGAATGTCTAAGCTTCATACTCTTAAAACAAAATGTAGGGGTAGACCCTTCAGCCTCTTTCCTAAGTTTAGCATGTTCAAAGTATCCCCTTCTCGAATTGGACATCCTTTTCTATACCCCGGAGCTACAACTAGAGTTCAGACTGAGCTGCCCTGCTTCCAGCTAACTTTAGAGCTTATAGAGTTGTGAGTTGTGGCACCTCTTGAGGCACTCTCCACGGCGCTGTCACATATCAATTGTCGCCTCTGGCCCCCGTAATTGCCAGACATGTGTCGCATGTGCGGCGGAGCGTGGGCAAGACAAATGCTGGAGCTGAAACGCACTTGAAGGCAGTTCGCTTTATTATTTTACATTTTTTTCTTTCATTTTATTTTTTTTTTATTTCTGTAAAAATAAAAACTCTACGTAAAGTGTTTTGAGAGACCCGCAGCATTTTGAAGTATCGATATCCGGCTATGCGATATTTGAAGATCTCGTTTGCTTAGTTATTGTTATGCCAGTTGCGTTCCGAGGATTTTCAATGAGGATTCAGTGCACAGCTTGGTTTTGCCTTTCATTTTGGCCGGTCGAACGTGCGCCAAGCACGTTCCAAATTATGCCCGAGCAGCCTTTGCAGATGATGGAAGATAAAAATCAGGTAGAGCCCGAAAAACGCATAATTAACATTGCCATTGGCCTTTGTTCAACTGGTTGCCGTCTTTCGTGACTGCCCGCTCCCGGCACCGTTCCCTTCTCCGTCTCCCATGCCGTCGTTGTCGTTGCGCCTGCGCAGGATGCGTCGGAAACTTGAAATCAAACACGTGTCTCGCCGGCGCTGCTCCTTTCTGGTTGGTCAGCCAGAAAGGGCAGCTGGAAAAAGCGGCACATAAACGAGCTCTGGCCAGGCACACACCTGCCGCCCAAAAATTACAGTAGTTCCACACAAGAGAGACAGATACACATTAAAAAAACAGGAATTTCAAGTCGAAATTTGAATTTTAAATGCCACAATACGAAACGGACTGAAACTGGGACTCGGACTGTGTCTGTGCCTGTGCCTGGCAGTTGAAATCGCGGCTTAGGCCTACCTTCATTAGACGGACTGATTTGTATCTGGCATGGAAGTGCGCTTCCTGCATGAAAAGGGCACAAATCGATATCCAAAATCTATTCGTGTCACATAGGCAATTCAATTACGGAATGGAATCTGTGCACAGTTGCGTTTAGTAATTCGTTTTGATGCCGCCTTTCGGCTTATCGCCAGCTACATGGAAATGGCATCCTGTTTGGCGCTTCCGGTTGATTCGCCCTGCACAGCTGGTCCGGTTACATGCCACACACCTGACACACTTCACCTGGAGCGCAATTGGAGCCAGAACAGCTTCCATTCAATCTGTATCTGTAACTGCAACTGTTGTACATTATTTTGTGGCCAGTGTGGTGACAAAATAATTACATGAAATTTATAATTAATTGCTTTGTGGCACAGTCAATAAATTGCGGCCACTGTATGAATATTTATGGGAAATTTTAATTGTCTTTTCACCTTAATTTGCAATTAAAGAGCACTTTGAATAGGTCTTCACTCGCAAATTCGGTTCAAATTGAAGTTATGCGATTATGCACAAATATTATGAAATGCCAAAGACATCGAGTGCCAATGTTAACATTCCCCGTTCCCCAAGGCAACTCAGACGCGTGCCACAGACCACAAGCATAACACATAACCTCACTTTCCATGCGGATGTGTTGGCCAACAAATGTGCGAGGAAATGTGTTTCCTTTTTAAACCAGGCACTCACACACACACACACACACTCGCACATTTGGCAACTACTGCCATAGTTCAAGTTTGCTGTTTGTTGTAAGCTTTTAATATATGTTTATTTTTATTTTGCTTTGTTTTTTTTTTTTCTTGCTGCTTTAGTTGTATTTTGCTGTTTGTTTGCCTTTATCGTGCGCAAACAATTTTGGTCAGGAAGAGAAGCTGCAAAGCTTAACGGCACATAAAGTTGTGGCAACATTTTGCTATTTCCTGCTACTTAGCTGTTAGCCTGTGTGCGTGTGTGTGTGCTTGTGTGTGTGTGCTTGTGTTCGTTTTGTGTTGTTCCCTGTAAAATTAGCACTTTATACATTTATGAGTAAGCGAGAAAATAAATTCGAAAATCAAACTAAAGCAGCAATAAGCAAAGGCATATTTGTACACTCGTTCACAAAATGAAAAAGAGTATATTGGGCTGTCGACACTATTTTATTGCGTATGTGCTCAAAGTGTTTATATTTTCGAGCCATCAGCCATGAGGCTCGATATCTACCACAGCTTTACAGCTATGGTGAATTACTGATGGGCTCTCCTAAAGATCGTCTCGTACCCACCACAGAGCTGGAATATGTCGCAATACTCTGTTACAGTGAGCGAATATTGTGCAGTCGAGTTTACCCGACTGCAATATGCTCACGTCTCTTTTTTTTGCGATCAATTTTTAATAAATGTTCAGCCAAGTGAAAAATTGTTTTGGTCAGCGGTATTATGTGTGCATAGCACATGGTTGTAAAATATCTCCACACACTCTGCATTTTTCTTTCAAGCTTGAGCTTTTCATATTTTCTATTGGCAGAGCTGTTTGCCAGCAAAGCTGTCGCTTATTGCCGCTAAGCCGGCAGAGATATGTTCCCCGCTCACCTTTGCACTTTTTGCACCTGCCACCGCCAAAGATCCCGGCGTCCCGCTCCTCCCTCACCCACTCGTTCGATGCCATTTGTGTCCATTGGCAGCGCATTTCAGTTTGAGTGAGTGCTAAAACTCCGGCACTGGCTGTTCATTCTATTTGCTCAAGTACTTTTAAGTGCATTGCGAAAGCGTTTATTTCCGGATTTTCGCAGTTATTCAATGTTCCGGTGATGTGGTGCAATTGTCGTTGCGGTGTGCACTTGCTCACGTCTACAGAGAGCACGGCAAATATTTATTCAGCATTTCTCATAATCTGTGAAAGCGAGAAATTTACCAACACTGTTATTATCTGCACACCTTTATGATGTCCATTAAGGCTCTAACACTTATGTCGTGTATATTTGACAGTTTAAACATGCATTTAAGTCAGCTTAGAAATATACTTAAGCCAACCGTTTTCATATTTTTGCAGTTTTAATTTCTTATATATTTTAAATGGATTCTTAAGACTTCTGAAATAGTGGCAACGCCATAAGAATAAGCTGGCAATGTTTTTCAATCCGAGTTAACAGGCTAGATCAGGCTATTGAAAAACGCACTGTTAACTACAACTGTTAGGTGGCAGCTCGTGATTCTTCCTTGTAAGATATTTAACAGGAAGTTAAGTAACCTGTTAATTTTCAAAACATGTTAAAAAACTTAACACAAAGTAAGCGTTCTAACCGCTGTACTCTTTGCTTTTTACTGGCTTGTAAGTTGAAACCAGCTGCATGTCGTTAAACTCATTAACATTATCATGAATGTTGAATTGTTCATAAATCAGAAGGCAGCCCAAAAACTTTTACACCGCACACAGCCTAGAAATAGGCAACAACTTTTGCCACTTGCCAATTGAAACTTTGGCAATCTAAATTATGTGTCTCCCTACTATATATATATATACATGTACTTCCTTGAAGTGGATGGTTGGGGCCTGGGAGTGAGGTTGACGACCCGCCGTCATAGGCATAGTATAGTATGGTATAAATGATTATATGAGTAGTAAACTTTTGTCAATTCGCAATCAGTAATCAATGGAAATGGTTTGCTCTCTCTCGTTCTCGTTCGCAGTGTCACCGTGCCGGGCTACCAGGGCAATCTGCAAGCCGCGATCTCTCACAGCGCCGCGCTGGCCGCCTGGGAACGCTTCGGCGTGGAATTCATACTGACTTTTGTTGTGGTGCTCTGCTATTTTGTCTCCACCGATGCCATTAAGAAGTTCATGGGCAATTCGGCGTTCGCCATCGGCGCAGCATACAGCGCCTGCTGCTTTGTGTCGGTAAGTTTGACATTGAAAATGATGCTTGAGGAATGCTTCGGCTGGAGTCGAGAGTCGACTCAAAACGCACCTGCCGTTTAGGCATTTTTATGGTGCAAAAATCGCAGCGTGACAGGCACAGGCAGGCAGCCAGTCAACAAAGGGACCGAGAAATTGGTAGAGATAATTAATTTAGTCGCAAGTCAGGGTCGAGCGTGGCTCAGGCCTGAAATGGAAAGCAAATATTTAGCCAGATTTAAAAGCTGCACGATAAAAATGCAATTTATATCGATTTGAATTACGATTTCGGATTTGCGAGCACGCAATCAACAAATTAATATTAACCAATTTATTGATTGGAATGCGGCACCTTGATTTAAAATTCGAAAAAATCTACAAAATAAAATCTTCAAGCAATTAGCAGTAAATTTATAAGCATATACTTTTTTTTATTATTTCAATGTTCTTCTTGTTAGAGCATCTTTTTTTTTTACTCCCCATGCTAACACTTGGATCTTGTCTCTGATTGATTGCAGATGCCATATCTGAACCCGGCGCGTTCTTTGGGTCCATCGTTTGTGCTCAACAAATGGGACAACCATTGGGTATACTGGTTCGGTCCACTCGTTGGCGGCATGGCCTCGGGCCTGGTATATGAGCATATATTCAGCTCTCGGCGCAGTGTGCGACATGCCAAGGGCAGCATTGACAACGACTCGAGCTCCATACACTCCGAGGATGAGCTCAATTACGACATGGACTTGGAGAAGCCGAATAAGTATCAGCAATCCCAGGGCACCTATCCGCGTGGGCAATCGAATGGTGGCGGTGCCGCGGCGGCCCAGCATGCCGCTGCCAACATGGCGCCAATGGGCGTAGTCAACGCAGGCGCTGGCAACTACTGCCAGAATCTGTACACCGCACCGCCGCTCTCCTCCAAGTACGAGCAGCAGCAACAGGAGCCGCTCTATGGCGGCACTCGCTCCCTCTACTGCCGCTCGCCCACGTTGACACGCAGCAATCTGAACCGTTCGCAGTCGGTGTATGCCAAGAGCAATACGGCCATCAATCGTGACATTGTGCCACGTCCTGGACCGCTGGTCCCAGCACAGAGCCTCTACCCACTACGCACACATCAGCAGCAGCAGCAGCAGCAGCAACAGCAGCAGCAGCAACAACAGCATCAGCAGGCAGTCACGGCAACTCAATCGTCTCATCTGCAAAACCAGAACGTGCAGAATCAAATGCAACAGCGTACAGAGAGCATCTATGCCATGCGTGGATCCATGCGCGGACAGCAGCAACCGCTGCAGCAGCAACAACAGCAGCAACAGCAGGCGCCAGTTGGCATGCAGCAACAACAACAACAACAACAGCAGCAGCAGCAACTGCATCAAGGAGCGCAGCTCATGTCGGAGCCACAGACACAACCACAGGGCTTCCAGCCGGTCTATGGTTCACGCAACAATCCCACACCGTTGGATGGCAATCACAAGTTCGAGCGTCGGGATCAGCAGCAGCAGCTCTATGGCATGACCGGTCCGCGCAATCGTGGTCAGTCGGCGCAATCCGATGACAGTTCGTATGGGTCGTATCATGGCTCAGCAGTCACGCCGCCGGCGCGTCATCCCAGCGTGGAGCCCTCCCCGCCGCCGCCTCCCATGCTGATGTATGCGCCACCGCCTCAACCCAATGCAGCTCATCCACAGCCCATACGCACGCAATCGGAGCGCAAGGTTAGCGCACCCGTTGTCGTTTCACAGCCGGCTACCTGTGCCGTTACCTACACCACATCGCAGGTGCCCCCGACGATCACGACCTCAACAGCACAGCAGCAGCAGCAACAGCAGCAGCAGCAGCAGCAACAAATGATGATGCAGCAGCAGCAGCAGCAGCAGCAGGCACATCAGCAGCATTATGGCATGTTGCCGTTGCGACCGAACTGAAAGCGGCTCTCCTGGGGTCCCGTAACGACGCCGCCGCCAACAATACACGCCGCACTCGCGATCCATCCCGCCGGCACCATGACCCTGCACAGCTGCAGCCTAGCCAAGCAGAGCAGTTTGTTTTAGCTCACAGCTAACAACAACAGTTGTCCGGGCATCCAAAGGAAATGTGCGCAAAGTCCTAGCATTTAGCTCAACCCAATACCCAACACGTTTAAGTGCAGTTTAGACTTATTTACCCTAGCTATATACACCTATATATATATATAGAAAGCCTAGAGATAACAATCGAAACATAGCCACAATGTATTAATAATGTACGTCAAGTAAAACGGAACTCACACCTAGCAACAGCAACAACAATAACCTTAAGTCACAATAGAATATACGTAACACCCGAATCCTAACTAAACCTAATACTATTCTATATCATGGAATAAGCGTATATAACATATTCTCTTACTAAAGTATACCCCGTACATTTAATTAGGTCTGACAAATTTCCAAGCATTTTTATTAATTTTGTTGTTTTAATTTTTTTTTTAAATTCGTTAACCCTTTGCTTGGAAATTGTATATTTAATTTTTTGATAATGTATTTAAGTATTCGAATTTGCTTTAACAATTTTTTTATTTAATATAAAGCTCAGTTTACAGCGTCACATTTGTAAAATCTCGACTATTTAAATGCCAAATTTTTAATTTTTTTCTAAAGCCTAAATTAAATTGTTTTATAGAATCACATATAAATTTGTATATACATAAATTCTGATGAATATTTAAAGTAAATGTTACTATTAACGATATTTATGTAAATGGTAGGCTAATATGCCTTAAAGTCGGCATATATATAGCATATATAGGTAATATACAAATAAATACATTACTCATGATAAATTCTATTTCTATTAATTGTAATACAATGTGTATTGATAACATTGAAAAAGAAAACTAAGATATATACTTATATAAAATACAAGAACTGTTCTGTAACCTAGATAAAAACATTTAATTAAATTCTATTTAGAACTTGCCTAAAATACTCTCTAATTTAAGAACAAAATGACGAACCAGAATGGTAAAAGTTGCCAAACATTTTTAAGGCTAGAGTAACGAGCTGCACAGTTGGTTCGCTGCCAGCTGCCAGTTAATGTCACAGGGACATGTGAATAAACATACGAGGAAAATTGTTCTAGTTGCGGCAATTACAGTAACTTACTGTCAACTCTAACAAAGGGATAAGCAAAGGGAAAGCATAACAGTTTACAACTGAAATTTCCCAAAAGGCAGAAATTCCCTCGATGCAGTGTTGCACAATTATGCAAGACTGCGAAGCTAGTGCAGTGCTAAGAAATCGCAAAGTTATGCACGCACTTTAAAACACTGCTGTAGCGCTTTTTTGTATTTGCATAAATAAAGAGTGAATATTTAGCATTTGATCATGCAAAGGTGTCTTTACAATTTAAACTCAGATCGCAGCATGTCTCCAAGGAATATGTGCACCCGAATCGCTGTGGCAACACCAACGCCAACAACAATACGGAAACGTCGCAGAGTTGTCCTGACCACAAGTTTGGGGAACACGCGTGAACTGGATGATCGATCTACTTCGTTTCCATCGATTGACGGATATTACGCCATCAACAGCCTACAACCGGAAAAGTGGAACACACTCAAGTTAAGAGAGTATTTGCAGATAGCCAATGAACTTTATCAGCTGTCGGACTTCGATGCCTTGCAGCTGCTGGGATTCTTTAAGAACAACTTAGCAGAGGCCTGTCGTCATCTGTACATCGACGGTACCCGGTCCACTTTACATCTGGATTTCGATTCACCGTGGCGACTTAGCTCCAAGTCAATTAGGGAGCTGTCCTGCATGGAACCCTTTACCACGCATACATTCTTCAAAAGCTTTCACCAGCTCTTCATAGTCAATTCCAATATACTGACCAACGTTCTGCCACAGCAGCCACTGGCTGAGCAGTTTCCAGGACGTTATCTGCGCATACAGCGCACCTTCCATCGGGGCCATGTCATTTGGGCCGGCTGCGTGCTTCCCAATGAACATGCACCGTTTGAGGTCGCCGCGCTGCTGTTGCCCTGCTCCGAACAAAGCGAATTGAATCGCTATACGGAGCTCATGGAGGAACTAGAACGATATTTGGGCCCGCTGGTATTGGCTAGCAAATGCTGGTCACCCAAGGACCAAAACCCAAGCCATCAAAGCGTTTTGATTCAAGTACTGTCCGCATTGACTGCCTCAGTGGAAGGTCTTCTCAAGAATGAGCTGTTAACCAATAAAATTCCAAGAGACGCTATCAGCGCTCTTCTTAGCTCTTTTGAACTTTTATATTGAGCTGAGCATTAGGTCATAAGACTGAAAGTTAAGAAGTATTCGATCTGTTAGATCTTTAATTTTTATTTTTTTTATATTAAGCTAAAACCCTTCGGAATCAAAATCAAATTTATTTACTAATGCCCGGCCTAGACCGTGACAACAAATTTTCACAGTTGCGAATGGAATTTCCAGAATCGCTGAAACTTGTATTCATTTAATTCGAACTTATAACCTTTCTTTGTGACAGCCTTTCGCTTCGCCGATTTCCCAAAATTCAACAAATCACAAAGATGAATACTCGGAGTTTAGTTTATACTTGTACACAATTTATTTTAATTAGTCAGAAATACAATCAAAATACAGATACATAAAAGAAATAACATAAATGCATAGTTTAACAAATGGGAACTGCAAACAAAATTTTAAAAAAATATTAAAGTCATGCATTAAGGCACAATTAAACAATATACAAGTGATGCAGGAAACTAAGCCTGCACCTTTGATAAGAAGCCACATTCGGTTGATTACAGAATAGAAATATTTCAATTATTTTCCTACAGATCATCGCAACTATCGGTGCCAGCAGGTTCCACATCCGAAGAATCGTTCTGCTCGTCCGCTGACCAGAAGTCGTCCTTTTCGCGCTCCTTCTGGACATACTGATTTTGGTGATATCGCATCCAATAGATGCGGCCTATATTATGCTGGGGAATGTTGGCGCGCTCCGTGTCATATACCAGCCAATGGCAATGCTGCTGTAGATACAACGAGTTGAGCAGACTGGGCCAGTACATATTGAGACCATCTTTGGCCAGCTTGACGTGCAGCTGGTAACCGTGCTGCTGCTCTGATAATATTTTAACCGCGCCCAGTAGATTCAGGATGCAGCGCTGCGGCGGTATGGTCTCGGTGACCTGGTAGAACAGCACATTGCCCTGATGCACCAGCTCGTATTGTGGCACCTGCTGCTCGAAGATGAGCTCAATCTGCAGGAGCGACTGGTGCCAGCGCACCTTTGGGCGCGCCGCGTTGCCTGCGATGACGGCACAGCACAGCGCACTGGTCATCTTATCTGGCGTCAACTGTGGCTTTGACTTGCACAAATTACTGGTTCCCTTATTAGTAAGTGTTTTCTTTGAAGGATTGGCCTCACCAGCTGTGATATCGTCGGTGCCAAGTATGTCTTGCATCAAGTGCTGTGCGGCCTCCTTCACCGCCGGATCAGCACTGCGCAGATCCTGCAGCAGCGCGTCCATAAATAAGGCAGTGCTATCTACCAATGCTGCAGTCTCTTTCTCCTCCTGCACAGTTTTCCCCATCGGTTCCTTGGCTTCGGCTGTCGTATTTGGACTTTCACTTTGCTCAATTGCCTTCTCGGGCGCTTGTGCCTCTTTGCGGAGCAAGTATCTTTGCACTGCACCAAAAAGCTGACTTAATTTGCCGCCATTAAATGTGGGCTTTGATGACTGCTGCGGTTTGTTGTTCTCTCTGGCTATTCTTTCCTCCTCCACAATTGCCTTTTCATCGCTCTCATTTTCCTCAGTCTCCGCCAGCGGCAGCTGCACAGGCTGCATTTGTCCGTTTGGTTGCACCTGCTGCTCTTCCAACTTTGAGCTGGTGACCTGCTCTTCCATTAGTTTCTGTTGCTCTGCGACCACCTCGTCATGCAACTTGCGCAGGTTATCCATGACTTGCTGCTCTCGCTTGGCATAGCCCCGATTGATCAGCTCATCGTGCAGTTGCATGGACTTTACGCAGATTCTCATCGCTGGACAATCTTGCAGAACGGCAATTTCTTTCACATAGACAACATCCAACATGGTAAACTCCACAATTAGCTGCAGGTGCTGATTGTCGCTTAGGTCACTCAGTAACTCCTTGACCCACTTGGTGGCCTCCAGCCGCCAATCGCCCTCACCGACAGCTGGCACCAGGCCACACAATCTCACATCCATGGCCAGGGGCGGCTCCGCTGTGAAGCGTGCGTCACACTCCAGCAGCTCGGCCGGCTTCACCTTCAGCAGTTCCGTACCCTCGTCCATTAGCTGAACGATGACAAGCCGCTTGTCCGACAAATCGACGACACGAACGCGCTGATATTTAATTCCACGATGCAGAACGCATACGTCCGCGATTTTCAGCAACCGCTTGGGACGACGATTCTGCTCGCTGCTCATGTGCATGTAGAGAGCCGTACTCAGTTTTCGCAGGGTCGACAGGTTCGACGCCTCTTGCCAGGAGTCGCTGTGACTGCTCTTGTAGCTGACAGCCATGACGGCAAAGTGTACCGGATCGTAGACTTTGATAATGTTGCAACGCACCGCAGTCTTTGGCTGCCACAGGGCACAAAACTGCCGCTGAAAGTCCACACTGACTGGATAATGCCGTTTGCTGCAATACAATTGTTCGCACTCGCCGCTGCTCAGCATCTGGGTACAGAACTGGCGACTCTGATCCGTCAGCTGGCGACAGCTGGCCACCATTTGCAGTATGTGCTCGCCCAGCTCAATGTCGTGGGCATCAAGGAATTGCACCAGACGCGGCAGCTCGTAGCTGTTGCTCTCGTCCAGCATCACGCAGGAGACCACATTCTGTTTGAAATTCTGCGGAACCAGACAGTTGCTAATGTTATCGCTGACCGCATGAAACCGGTAAGAGAACTTTGACCAAGATTCCGGCAGACTGTAGTGCACCATCAGCTCGAAATTTCCAACAGGCAGCTGAGTTTGCTGCACTGCATCCGTAAGCAGCAGCAGCTGATGCATTTGCTGCAAATAGGATAGTAATATCCATAAATTTAAAGATAAGCTTTACATTTTACCTGACTCGCAACTTCGTTTGGACCAATGCACTCGTAGCCAGCTTCAGTCAGGGCGTGCCGCAAGGCTGTCAACTCCTCCTCGTGTTTGCAGTAAATGATAGTGCGCCTCTTGAGGGGACTCTGGACGCCCAGGTAGTCGAGTAACTGCTGTGTCTTCTTGCTGCTGCGCAGTACGGCGACGTTCAGTTTGAGGCTGCCGTAGACGGCTGCCTCCAGAAAGTCACCGAAAAGCAGAAGAGGATTGTCGCCAAAGCGTTTGACCAGCTCCAGAAACACGCGTGCATGCCACTGCTGGGCGATGAGCACCAGCTGCAGCTGCGTTATGGCCATGTTCTGCACCATTTGCAGCAGCTCGCTGAGCAACTGGGAAGCGGAGGCGCGCATGCGATCGTAGTCATCGATGACGAAGTACTTCAGACGGCGCGGATCGATGAGCTGCATGTCCAGCTCCAGCAGTTGCTTCAAGTGCGTGGGCGTGGTCACCAAGATGCCGCAGGAATAGAGCAGTCTGATGTGCAGCTCCTTTGGGCAGTGGGCATGCGTATTGACCACCTTTAACATGTTCGTTTTGTAGGAGCTCATCAGGTTGGTGCAATGATAGAACAGCGCCTGGGCATTGGCCACAGAGTCCGCCAGCAGCACGGCTAATGGCCCCAAGCTGGGCTCCTTATTGAGGCCAATTGGTGCCGCGCGCATTCTGCGCATAACCAAGGAGCACAACGGGGCCAGGTAAGACCAGGAGCGACCGCTACCAATGCGATCGACCAGCACCAATGCGTTGCCCTTCATCAGATGCGGCCAGGCATAACGCTGCGCGGGCAACACCGTCTGTAGATCCATGTCGCCCATGGCCATGAGTACGTCCTTGCAGAGCAGCGAGTCCGACAAGCTGCTCATTGGCTGCACCGGCACATTGCTATGGGCCAGCACGAGATTCTCGATGGGACGCAGTTCGACGGATGACTTCTCTGGCGCATCCTTGGATTTAGCTGGCAGCCGGTATTCGTTGTAGATTCGGTCTAGTTTATTCTGGTAATGAGGCTCATTCTCTTTAACATTTCGATTGTGCCACTCGGCTGCCCGGCGAGATACCGACTGGTCGGGATTCCCATTCAGCAATAGGCCGCCCATTTCATTATGTAGAGCTCCCACTTTTTCTTTGACAAATTCCTGCCCGAATTTGCTAGCGAATTCTTGGGCAGAAACCAGAGATATGCTCTCATGCGCAGAGTCTCTTCCATTGACCACCTTTGGGATTTCCTGTATTTGATGAAGCGTCT